TTCTGAACGGCTTGATACATTAGCTGTCAAATTCAAAGCACACAACACGTTGTCTCAAATGATCAGAAAAATTTTACGATCATCTAACACGCAACTGTTCAGTTGATCAGAAGTACAAAACAACGCGTTCAGAAGGTGCAATCGCAACAGTTACTGAGCTGTTGCGCCTTCTGAACGTGCCCATTTTCTCCATATCAAAAAATCGTCGATCATATTTTGTATAGGAGAAAACGACTGACTTCGTCACAAAAAAAAGTTAAATTCCCACACGAACTGTAAGTCTCAAATTGAATTAAAATGCTCAAAATTTTTACGAATGTTGCACAAAAACTGAAACATCTTTTTATATGATTTTTGTTAAAGAATATACTTAGACTTATCATGAGTTTCATTTACCCCGAACCGGTTCACTTTTCACTTTTTTCAGGCGAAACTTATTTGAGATTAATAAAAATTAAAAAAGAATTAAGATAAATGGTAAAATATTGTCAATAGGTGGCTGTCGTAACGTTTTGATAAGCACTATATTTATATTTTTTATTCGACTCCATCTACAACTTGCACTATGTAACGTTTCAGGTATATTCGGGGTTTTTTTTTTTGTAGCGGAGTGTTATTATTTCTTCAAAATATAAAGGATAAGGTCTACTCTTGCACAGCGCTTACTTGAAGCACGAGCTACCGGGTTGGCAACCAATCGATTAACTATTTACCCACTAGATGGGCCAGCAAAAATATCACTTATTCATAAGCAACGCGATATTTTTCTGATATTACTTAAAACATGTTTGCATATATTTAACTAGAATTCCATTATGCAATTTGTAGGGTATAGCGAAGCGCGCTGAGTAAGTTATTTTAATATAACAGCTAGTAATTTTATTATGTCACATCCACATACCTAAACAAGTGCTAATTACATAAAAATATAATTAGAATTTGTACGACTGCTTGGTATACATTATTCGAATACTTGGTAGCTTTAAAATGCAATCATTACTTTTTTTTGCATAAGGCTGTGCCAAATAAAACCAATGTTATTTTTCTTTCGATTCCATATAAAAATTTCGGGGGTACAATAGATCTCCTGGTCGCACAGTCTAATGCGCATAGACCTACATGCATTTGCAATGTATTATGTATATATTAGTATATACAGTATCGGTCATATCTATAGCACGCCATTTCAAAGTGCTATTGTGTGCCACTTATGTTTATTTATTTATTTTTAAGAATTTTCAATTTAAATACAGTTCTTTCTCTAACAAACCCCATAAACCCAAGTTTAACAATTTGTAGAAAACTTCAAAAAAGTGCAACAAATTTTCACCTAAGTTTCAAGTACACAGTTTTTTAGCCACTTCAATTTTAGTCTGATAATGTGCAAATGTCAAGTGGCTACGAATTACCGTTAATTTTTTAGAATTTTTTTTGTCGCATTGGCTTCCATATAATGAATAAACTCAATTTATTTGTATATGGAAGAAATCCGCAACACCTTTGGCGAAAAAAATTCTAAAAAATCAACGGTAACTTTTAGCAACTTGAAACTTGCATATTATCAGACTAAAATTGGTTGGGCTATAAAACTGTGTATTCAGAAAAATTCAAACACTTCTGAGAAAAATGTTGAAATTTAGGTGAAAATTTGTTGCACTTTTTTGAAGCTTTCTACAAATTATTAAACTTGTTTTTATATGGGGTTTGTTAGAGAAAGAACTGTATTTTAATTGAAAATTCTCAAAAATAAATAAATAAACATAAGTGGCACACAATAGCACTTTGAAATGGCGTGCTATAGATATGACCGATACTGTACTTATTTGAATGTCTAGATGAGAATAAAACCCCTTTAAAGCTCTTATTTTAAATATTCTGCTTTTAATTGCTACAGCCTTTCACTGGGTTAATTTTAAAGTCATGAGGACATGTGTATGTATGTGTAGTTATGTAAATAGGTGCCGATGTATACACTGCGACCAGGAGATCCATTAAGCACATTATAGTTACAATTATTATAATGTATACAAGTGTACTGTTAATGTTTTTTTTTTTGTATTAATGTATTTACTAGCTTCGCCACGTATGTTTTATTTTGCAAAAAAGAGTTTAGTATATTTTGCAGATATTTACAACAATAAGTAAATAAAAATTATACTGCAGGAGTTAAAAGATATGTAGTTATTTGTAAATTTTTATTGTGGCGCATTAATATTTATTTCAGTAGTGTTATTGAGGAAATGGGAAAAACAACAATATCTAAGCGCTAGAAGTTATAGCAGCTCCTCATCAGACTTATTTTTTCTAGTCTGCAGCAGGGATCGGAAAATGTGAATATTCCTGCATTGTCAAAAATTTAACTGCAATAATAAATAAAACAAAGCAAGCATATTTGATTTTTATTTTGAGTCTCATAACGAGCACTAAAAAACAATCATTGTGGGAAAGATTGGCCGATGTGTGTAGGTAAATTACGGTTGTCCAAAAATGCATGTGAAAAAGTAAAGTTGGAATTTTAATGCCTTCACCCCCTAGAATTGCTCTATTTCGAAAAAAATACACCTCTATTTTTTTGTTTTGAAATAAAAAGATATTTAGAGGTCGCTCAAAGCGCTCAAAGTTTTCCTTGTATTTTATATCGGAAAAAACCACTTTTCGTAGAAATAGTAAGAAATTCTTGAAAATCAATATTGTTCGATCGGAGAACTTTGTTTCTCTTATTTTTGGAACACCCTAATGTACATAGAAGCCCATGTAGGTATGTGAACGAACTGAAATAAGAAAATCATAGTATTAAGGCAGAACTGATTTGTCGATTGTGTCTCTCATTAAACTCATAGTAAAATTGTAGCATAGTAAGCATAATATTTGGTGCATACATACAAACATACTTACTTATCGAGGGCTGAGTGAAACACTGACCTATATCGGAATCCTGCTCTTTGCTTTAAAAAGTTATACAAATGATGTTTATGACTACTGGAAGTGAGCGTTTTTTAAAGAAATTAAGTTTTCTTTGCTCATCCCGGAAAAGCTTTGGAGCGGCGAGCAAAGCGGAGAGCTAGCATCGAGCACGACTTCAATTGCAAACGTGTGTGTACGCTTTGCTCATCACTGGCCCTTTCCCATTGAAACATATGCGTTTGCAATCGACGCTTTCATCGATGCTCTTTGCTCGCTGCTCCACTATGTTCTTACCCTTATTTAGATACGATATTTGTTCAACAAAGAAAAAATCTATGAAACTTGAACATCCTTTCGATTTGTCTTCTTCATACAGGAATTTCCATCTGAATCTTTAACGAAAAAGGGCAACTTTACAGCAAAGGCGCTAGACAAAAGGTGTTTGTGTGTTGGTCAGAAAATGTAAAACTCCATTTCTTAGCACATGATAAGTTTTTGGATTAAATTATAGCAAAAGTAAGCCCCAGCTTTCGCTGAGAGGTAAATAAATGCTCAGTGTACATTTTTAGCGCATAGTTTTCAAAAAGAATGACAAATTTTGAGTTGTTTCACTTTTGAAGATGGTGTGTGATATGTTGGTTGAAATTAGTTTTGTTTATCAATAATAATACTAATAGATTGGCGCTTACACATTTGTTAGTGTGTGGCCGCGCTTCTCCTCCGATTTGTGGCATGCGCCTTGACAATGTCACACAAAGAGGAGAGACCTACAGTTTTGCGCCGACTTCGAACGGCGATTATATTTTAATGAGGAGCTGTTTTTCATGGCAGAAATACACTCGGAGATTTGCCATTGCCTGCCGAGGGGCGACCGCTGGTAAGAAAAAACCGGTTTTGTAAATTTTTTTTGCGATGTTGCTTTGACCAGGGCTTGAACCCATGCGCTGCTGAGTAGAAGCGCGCACTGCTTGCACCTACACTACAGTTTTGTTTGCCTACTTAAATATGTATGTACATTAGACTGGTTAAAAAAGTCGACTACTTTTTCAAACGAATTTCGGATCTGCTTATCCCCTTAATAAATATTAAAGTTTAGATCATGCAAATTTTCTTGGAAATTTTATAATTTTAAATTTCCTTTGAAAAATATCAACAAAAATGTTTTTTTTTCTGCATTCTGTTAAAAGATACATATAAATCGTTTTTTTTTGTCTTTTCTTGTGATTCCATTAAAAAAATGATACCAGATTATTATTTTTCGCAAACGAAAATTTTAATATACAGGCAAATTGTAGTGATTTATTGAAAGAGGGAGTGACGGAATGATAAAGTCTAAAACGGAGTGAAAAACTCCGATGGGACAGCGATAGCAGTGATTCAAAGTTTTGCAAAATACTTGAAGAAAATGAATAATAATACGTTTTTTCCTCCTCTGTAAAATTTGTAAATATGAAATTAGCAGCTTTTCACTCTAAGCTAACGAATTAAAAAATTTACTAAAAATTGCAGACAAGTAGACTTTTCCTAATTATAAACTCTACCCAGAGCAATGACCTAAAATAATAGCCCCAAAAAAAGTTCATGGCGTATTCCTATAAATGGTAAATGTTTACTATTTCTTTTTAAAACATATTTTATAAGAACAACAGCTTTTAGTGTCACTGAACTTTGGCATTGCAATCAAGAAAGAAGGTATACAACAGCCTTATAAAATTATACCAACTTGCCATTTGTCGCTGCAAATGGACATCTAACCAAACTAGATCAACAAAATAGACTTGATGCACCGGTTTATAAGCCAAATTAAGCTAGCAAAATATTTAACAAACAGCTCATAGCTCGAATATTATATTAATATAACTTAATTTTTAACACCTTCCTGCTTTTAATATAAAATTACCAAATACATACATGTGTGGCTTCAGAACAACTTTGAGTATCTTTCCAAATGAATGAATGAAATTTTAGTTCAATGCGAATATTCACAAAACTACTAGATACCTTATTTAGCATGAATGAGTTTTTAAAATTTATATTTGTCGACAAATTTACTACTAATTTTATGTATGTATATTAAATAAAAACTGCATTTTCAGATCCCCGCGCCACACGCTTTCCCCTCATGGAGCATCCCCTTTACACATTCGGTTTAGTTGCCATCTACCTGTCTTGGGTCCTCGTAATAGGCCCCATGTTCATGCGCGACAAAAAACCATTTCAACTGCGACGCACATTGGTCATCTACAATGCCTTTCAGGTGGCGTTAAGCGCATACATGTTCTACGAGGTAAGATTGCTTCCATAAAAAAAAAGAAGTTAGTAGAACTCATCCTAAGCAGACTTGGTGCTTTACTACTAAACATGAATCATTTTCCTTTTTGTTTCTGAATATTTACAGCACCTGATGGCAGGTTGGCTGACCAATTACAATTTGAAGTGTGAACCCGTAGACTACTCAGATAGTCCAATGTCGAAGCGGGTGAGTTGCATAGCTACCTTCATGCGTACAGCGTGCTATAAAAAAAGAGAAAAAGAAACTAAATAAACAAAATTTTGAGAGCAAATGACATTTTTCAGGCAGCTCCAAGTTGAAATGCTAATCAACTAGACCGACCACGTCGCATATGTACAAGTGTATGTAAATAAAACGCGTGAATAGTTAAAATATATATGCATGAGCATTAAAAAGCAGTCACCAAGATGCTTTCAACTCACTACTTACCTTGCAGAAAAAAATTATCAATTTATCAACTAATTAAAATAGCCAACTTATAGTTAGCTTTTTTTGCGGGATTTCGATAAATAACTAACTTCTAATTAGCTATGACAAAATTAACTTTAGATGAATTGTAAAGTCTTTATCTTGAGTTTGTTTTCTTTACAAGTTTCTATTTAAATATCCTCCTACAAAAATAATTTCAACACACTTTTTCTGCACCTCGCAGATTCTTTTTCGAATTCAGGATAAATAAGATAATGATCGAAATTTTACATTATTAAAATAAATAAGCAAATATGTAATGTTAAATAAAATAAATAGAAAAATATAAAAAATCTTTTTTTGTTGATATGTAGTTTATGTTCAAGAGTAGCTACAAGTTAGTTGACATCTAATGCAGAAGAACTATTTTGCGGTTATCGCCCTTCAAAAGTAGTTAGTTACGACCAAGTTACGACAGCTAGTTAGTTAATAGTTAGCTACAAGCTTGTTCCATTTCCCGCAGGGCACTTTCTACCGTAAGCTGAATACCTTAAAATGCAGCCTCTGCGGTGTCTTTCATCTTCACTTTACTGCATACACAGAAACCGATTAGCTCATTTTTGTTTTCGTCGCTTACTTTCAAGGCCATTGGATGTATAAATATGTGATAAAAATATAAAATTCATATGTATGTATGTACATACATATACACATATGCATCCATGGTGAAATAAAAAGAAATCAGCTCTCACTTAGCAACTCGCTTCCAGCGCTTAAAGTAAATTACCTCGATTAATATAGCGTCTTAAATATTTTATTTTCAGGTTTCTGTCTTTGTTTTCGCGGTTTGTTATTGTGTGGTCATCTCCGATTTTTTAATAAACAAAAGATATTTTTTGGAAGAGTCAGATTCAATCACATTCGTTTTTAACTTAGTATAAGACATGTGATTTGTACAAGATATACATACATATGTAACACAAGGTGGATTTTTGCTTTTAAAGTGCAAACGACAAATTTGCCTTTGATTTTTGTGTTGCTACTCTAAACCTGTTCTAAAGACACTGTGTTCTTTTCATAATCCAGAAAATTATATAGTGTGGGTCTTCCCATTTGCCGGATTATCAGATTAAAAATTATTATTCTGTAGTATTTATATTTTAACTTTATTTTTTTATTATTTCGCTAAAACAAAAGAGAAATAAATTCTTATGAAATATTCGGTTCAATTAAACAAACAAATTATAGATGATAAATTAAATAAAAACGAGTTAAATAAAACGAATACTTAAAATATAAAAAATATATTATTATTGGCGTTTATTGCTGTAAAGTGAATAAAAATATAACCACTCAAGTAGAGTTGGATTTTTTAGTTCACTTTAAAGATCAGTTCACTTCTAGTTCGTTCAGCTCATTGAACTAGCTCTTCTGAGTTTTAGTTAGCTCATCTTATTCAACTATAGTTCACTGAACTAAACTACTTCAGTAGTATTTAGGAGCTGAGTTACAAAACAACAAAAATGTAAGCTTTATAACACATACTTATAAAAGTTTTAAGTAATTTATGTATAAAGTAAAAAAAAGTAAGTGCGTCCTGAACCACACTGGTGAAGTGAAGCTTATGTTACATATCTATTTTGTCTCATAACCAATACACATACATATATCATACTCATACATCTGTTTTTGCCTAAGGTTATACCTGTTCCTCTCTCTGATCGTTCTAATTAAATTTATATTAGTCTGTTTCCCTTTATCTTCATTTTAATCTTTATACTCTATCCATAAAAAAATCTATAGTAAAATCCATCGAAATATCGATAACAAAATCGATAAAATATCGATAACAAAATCGACGAAAATTCAATAAAAATGGCGATAGCAAAATCCATAATAATGTTGGTAGCAAAATCGATTAGAAAATCAATAAAAGTATCGATGACAAAATCTATAAAAATATCGATAACGAAATCGGTAATAAAAGCGATAACAAAAATCGATTAGAAAATCGATAAAAATATCGATTAATAAATCGATAAAAATATCGATAAATAATGTAACAATAACGATAACAAAATCGATAAAAATTCTATAAAAATATCGATAACAAATTCGATAAAAATGTCGATAACAAAACCAATAACAATATCGGTAAAAAAACCGATAAAGATATCGCTAAAATGTCGATTACAAAATCGTTAAGAACGTTTCTAGCAAAATTGATAAAAATAGTGATTATTATATCGATTAACTCCGCAAATTTCGGTAAAAAATTCGATAACAATATCGATAGAAATTTAGATAACAAAATCGATAACAAAACCGATAGAGAATTCCGAAAATATTCAAAATCCCAAAATAGTTCCTAGATTGAGTCTCTGGTCATCTATCTATATATATCCTTTTCTCTATAACTACCTTTATTTTAATCTTGCGTCCTGGATCTTCATTTTTACATTTATCGATATCCTCATCCTCATCTTTTTTGTTTTATATTTATCTTTGTTTTTACCTTTATGTTTATAATTTTTTTTATCTACATATTCCTCTTCACCTTTGCTTTAATATATGTAAGTAAAGTGTTTAAATTAACCTTGGCCTTTATTCTTTTCTTTATCTATGTACGTAGTCGCCGATACTTTCATTCTTGTATTGGTATTTTTCTTAGTGTTATTCTTTAACCTTTTATTAGCAAATTTTTGTTAAATTAATACCACTCAAGAAGCACTTGTTTTAGACCCAACCAATTCCTTTGCTTCATTTCCGTTGCACCATTTCCTTGTGGAATTTCCGCTGAATTTGCCATCTTACTCCCAACCAACCAACCGCCGCTAAAGAAGTTTCACTTCAAAAAGGAATAATTTCTATATGTTGATGGTCCTCTGCACACAATTGAGTTGTGTTCATTTTTTCGTCATCATCGAAAATCTCGAAAGCATGTTTATGGCGATGCGCTAAACGATATAAAATTCCGATCATTTGTTTCTTTATGCCCTTACAGCGAAAATCGAAATGCCATATGTGTTAAAATTACATTTCCATTATTATTGGAGTGTAGCCACAGAAAATTTTAGTTCACTTTAATGAACAGACTAACGAACTAGTTCAAAAGCTCCCCAAGCCTACACTCAAGCAGATAACTTGATAACAAGACAGGTGTGAACAATCACAATAATTTCATATCAGCGCCGGTAATCATCATACGTAAAATAATTAAAATCAGCATTTAATCACTATTTTATGGTTATTGCCTTCCTTTCTTTTCTCCTCCTTCCTTCTTTTGTGTCAAGCGAAGTACACAAAAATTCTAGTCTCGCGCTGGGTCACGCATCCAACGGCTTCGTCGCCGGCTTTGAAAGCTCTGCCAGTATACCGACCGTTCCACCAACTTGGCTCTTTCTAAGCAGCATTATTGTTGTTCTGATCTCGTCCTGGTAAAGTGGAGAAACATGAGCACCGCCTAAATGCATTAGTTCGGGTTCTCCACTATTCACAAGTTGATAGTGGGAGTCCACGAAAATTTATCTAGTTTCAACGGCGTTACCTATCAATGTTGGCAGATAATAAACTATGTATGCAAAAAATTAAAGGAGAAAAAAAATTTCATTGATTTTTGACAGATCGTATTGAGATTTAAAAAAAGCATTTTGAAGCTTTAAGATACTAATTTTCAGGTTTCTTGGCTAAGATCTTGTAGGTGCTACGGGTCTCACCAATCCTAATAGATGGCTCGTAAATTTTTTCAAGTTTTTTGGCTTTTGGCAGGGGGTCACACGAAACCAGCTAAATTTTGAAAGTGTTCTATGAACGTAAAAAGCTTGCGAACCGCTGTTTTAGACTGAAAAAATAAAAGTCAAATTTTATTTCCTACTTTTGAACTAAATTTTTGAAAATTACCGTTACTTGCGATGCCTGAGCAAAATAAATCTTAATTTTTATTGATCTTATTCATAATATTTAGATGCATAATACGCCTTTGCAAAGTTACAGTAGCTTATAAAAATTGCCTGCTATCGAATGAACCCGGCGATTAATTCACCGGCCCGAGATGTCATATAATTAAAGGCTAATTTTACATTATTTTTTAAGTACGAGTATATTGCAAATTTTTCATTTGTTTCAAGCAACATTTATGCGTGTGTCTAAAATTTTGACAATGACACAATCAACGAATATTAATGGCACAATAATTGCATAGCACAGACTGTCTACTTGCCGCTACTAGACATTGAGAGTTCATTATATTGTTGCGATTTTCAATTTTTGTTTGAGTCTTTAATGTTGTTCTATTATTTCGCTATACAACTTAATCTTTATATATATATATATTTTTTTTGCTATGACTTTGTAACGCATCGCTGGGCTTGCGCCAAAATTTCATTCGAGCATTTAATGCCTATGTATTTACTCACAAATACATACATACCTACATACATATATGTATGTACGATTACTGTTGATTGCACTTGCTTTAAGCATTGTGTACACTTCTTCGAGTTTGTTCTCTATTTGAGTGGGTTCTGCGCGCGTGCGCAATTTTGATTTTTCAGCAAATGCAACCATTTCTGTCTGTATTCAGTTTTCAACGCATATCAACTTCTTTCCCAATTTCTGACAGCAATTGGCTCCTTGGATCACCCCGATTACAACAAGAAAATGATGCTTATCAAATTAGGCATAACAACGATGGCTTGGTGAGCGGCCTACCTTTTTTTGCTTTTTCTTCTTTACTTACTTCTTCTTCTTAACTTTTTTTTTGTTCTTCGTGCGAGCTG